CTGCACTAGTGTTTCTAACTACAGCAATTACCTAGGAAAAATGAATGGCATCCTGGTTGTACAGAAAGAAGTAAAACTAATTTGCAGAAGCTACCCCACCCAAAAAAAGGGCTAATGAACAAGTTCAGTGACATGACAAGATCAAAGTACAAAAGTCAGTTTAATTTCTATAAATAGCAATGAACAATTAACAAATAAAGTACTCAGTTCCACTGACAAAAGCATTAAAAATAATAAAATACTGGGGCCAGTGCTGTGGCTGGTAAAGCCACTGCCTGCAGTGCTGGCATCCCATATGGGCACTGGTTTGATTCCTGGCTGCTCTACTTCTGATCCAGCTCTCTGCTATGGTCTGGGAAAGCAGTAGAAGATGGCCCAAGTCATTGGGACTCTGCCCCAACATGGGAGACCTAGAAGAAGTTCCTGGCTCCTGGCTTTGGGTCGATGCAGCTCCAGGCACTGCGGCCAACTGGGGAGTGAACAAAGTGGATGGAAGACCTTTCTCTCTCTCTCTGCCTCTCCTTCTCTCTTTGTGTAACTCTGACATTTAAATAAATATTTTTTTTTAAAAAAGGAATAAAATACTTAGGAATAAATTTAACAAAAAATGCAATGTTTGTATACTGAAATTTAGAAGATACCGCTGAAAGAAATTAAAGATGTAAGTAAATGAAAAAACATCTTGTGTTCATGGTCTTAATATTGTGAAGATGACAATAATTACCCAAGCAATCTATGGAATCAATGCAATTCCTATAAAAATTCCAGCTGCCTTTTTTGCAGAAACAGGTTAAGATCATCCTACAAATAACATGGATATACAAGGACTCAGAATGGATAAAACAGTCTCAGAAAAAAACAAAGAGGACTCAAACCTTCTGATTTCAAAACTTACACAAAAGAGATAAGGTAATCAAGATAGCACGTTGTTTGCATGAGCACAGGCAAATAAATCATGAAATGGAACTGAGAGGTCAGAAATATATCCATATAGGAAGAAGGAAGGGATATCTTTATATCTTTATATATATAAAAAAAAAAAATATATATATATATATATATATAAAAAGATCAGCACCGCGCTGATCCGAAGCCAGGAGCCAGGTGCTTCTCCTGGTCTCCCATGTGGGTGCAGGGCCCAAGGACTTGGGCCATCCTCCACTGCACTCCCTGGCCACAGCAGAGAGCTGGCCTGGAAGAGGGGCATCTGGGACAGAATCCAGTGCCCTGACCGGGACTAGAACCCGGGGTGCCGGTGCCGCAGGTGGAGGATTAGCCTAGTGAGCCGCGGCGCCGGCCTTTATATTCTTAGAATTGTATCTATGGGGACTGTGGTGCTGGTTCATGTCCTGGCTGTTCCTTTTCCAATCCAGCTCTCTGCTATGGCCTGGGAAAGCAGCAAAGATGGTCCAAGTGCTTGGGTCGCTGTACTCAAGTGGCAGACCTGGAAGAAGCTCCTGGCTGCTGGCTTCGGATCAGCTCAGCTCCGGCCATTATGGCCATTTTGGGGAGTGAATCTCTTGGGGAGTGAACTTCTCTGTCTCTCCCTCTATTTATAACTCTACCTCTCAAATAAATAAATAAAATATTTTAAAAAAAGAATTTTATCTATGAACTACATAGAATCTGTATAGGATCTGTTAAAAAAATAGAGAAAAAAGCAACTAGAAAAAAAAAAAGGGAAATAAATCCATACATCTACAATCAACTGATTTTTGACAAGGTGCCAAGACTATTCAATGGGGTACCAAGAGATTTCAATGGGAAAAGAAGAGCAGCTGCTTCTCTTTTTAAACAACGGTGCTAGGACAATTTTTTGACAGGCAGAGTGGACAGTGAGAGAGAGAGACAGAGAGAAAGGTCTTCCTTTGCCGTTGGTTCTCTTTTTAAACAACGGTGCTAGGACAATGCAAATGAATATCTGTAATGCATGTGAATATGAACATGCATCCACAAAATGGAAAGAAACCTAAGAGTAAGAGCTAAAACTATAAAATTCTTTACAGGTTAATTCTTTGTGAACTTGAATTAGCCAATTCAAGTAACTGAAGGGAAAAAATAAATTTGAAAATAAAAATTAAAAATGTGTTTCAAGGAGACACTATAAAGAACATTAAAAGACAACCCACGCAATATATTGGTGAGAATATCTGCAAATCAGATATCTGATAATTGTATAGTATTTAGGATATAACTCAAAAATCAAGAATAAAACTACGAATAATACAATTAAAAAATATCAACCAGGATTTGAATAGGCATTCTCCAAAAAATATATATAGTCAATAAGCAGGTGAAAAGATGTTTAACATATCAGTTATTAATAAATTGCAAGGGCCAGCACTGTGGAGCAGTGGGTAAAGACACCTCCTGCAGTACCAGCATCCCACATGGACATGGGTTCGATTTCTGGCTGCTCCACTTCTGATCCAGCTCTCTGCTGATGGCCTGGGAAAGCAGTAGAAGAAGGCCCAAGTCCCTGGGCCCCTACACCCACATGGGAGACCTGGAAGAAGCTCCTGGCTGCTGGCTTCAGAGTGGCTCAGCTCTGGCTGTTGTGGCCATTTGGGGAGTGAACCAGCGGATGGAAGACCTCTCTCTCTCACTCTTTGCCTCTGCCTCTCTGTAACTCTGCCTTTCAAATAAATAAATAAATCTTAAAAAAAAAATAAACTGCACATGAAAATCACAAGGAGATTCTACTTCAAATCTATCAGGAAAAATGGACAATAAGTATTGTGGAGTATGTGGAGAAACTGGACCCTCACATATCCTGGTACAAATATAAAATGGCATAGCTACCTTTTTTTTTCTTTTTAAAGATTTGTCTATTTAGTTAAAAGGCAGAGTTAATAGAAAGGCAGAGGCAGAGAGAGAGGTCCCCGATCTGCTGGTTCACTCTCCAGATGGCAGCAATGGCCGGCTGGAGCAGTGCCAATCCGAAGCCAGAAGCCATGAGCCTCCCCCAGGTCTCCCACGTGGGCGCAGGGACCCAAGGACCTGGGCCATCCTCTATTGCTTTGCCAGGCCATAGCAGAGAGTTGGATCGGAAGTGGAGCGGCTGGGACTTGAACCAGTGCCTATACGGGATGCCAGCACTGCAGGCGCCAGCCCTGACATAGCTACTTTGAAAAACAGTTGAATAGTTTCACAAAAAATTAAACACAGAGTCATCACCTGATTCGCAATTCCACTCCTACATATATATCCAAAAGAACTGCAAACATGTTCATACAAAAACTTGTGATAGCTATATTCACAGCAGCATTATTTATTATAGCCCTAAAGTAGAAACAACCCCAATGTCCATTCATGGGTGAATGGATAAACAAAATGTAAATCTCATACAGTGGAATATTATCTAGCCATAAAAAAGGAATGAAGTACTTATTGATATATGCTGCAATATGGTTGAAATTTAGAAACATGCTGAATGAGAGGAGTTAGTCACAAAGGTCACAAATTTTCTGATTCTAGTTACATGAAAATGTCCTGAATAGGCAAATCCATAGAAGTACACAGTAAATTAGTACTTGTTAGATTTTGGAAGAATGTCTGCTGATAAGTATAATGTATCCTTTTGGGGATGAGGAAAACGTTTTAAATTAAATACGGTGTTGGCAATACACAGTTATTCTCAAGTGTTGAAACTTAACTGAAAAGTGATCGCTGTTAAATATAAGAGTGGGAGTAAGAGAGGGAAGAGATGTGCAATTTGGGACATGCTCAAGCTGACTTACCTCAAATGGTAAAGTTAGAAACATACCAGGGGATTCCAATTCAATCCCATCAAGGTGGCATGTACCAATGCCACCTCACTAGTCCCGGTGATCAATTTCTGTTCACAATTGATCATAATGATAGGACTAAGAGCCAAAGGGAGCACATAAACAAGACTAGTGTCTGCAAATACTAGCTGATAGAACAAAAAAGGGAGAGAACAATCCAACATGGGAAGCGAGATACACAGCAGACCCATAGAATGGCAGATGTCCTAATCAGCACTCTGCCCTCAGAATCATAAACAAGACTAGTGTCTGCAAATACTAGCTGACAGAACAAAAAAGGGAGAGAACAATCCAACATGGGAAGCAGACCCATAGAATGGCAGATGTCCTAAACAGCACTCTGGCCTCAGAATCAGCCCTTAAGGCACGTGGATCTGGCTGAAAAGCCCATGAGAGTATTACAGGCATGGAAAGCCAAAACACTCTGGCAAAAAAACAAAAAAACAACAGAAAAAAACCCTATATGAAAGATCTCCGCGAGTGAGATCCCAGTGGAAAGAATAGGTCATCAAAGAAGGAGGTACCTTTCTCCGAAGGGAGGACAGAACTTCCACTTTGACTACGACCTTGTCTAAATATGATCAGAGTTGGTGAACTCAACAGGCTTCCATAGCCTTGGCGACTCAATGACAAGAGCCTAGGGTGATTACTGATGCCATAAACAAGAGTGTCAATTTGTTAAGTCAACAACAGGAGTCACTGTGCACTTACTCCTCATGTAGGATCTCTGTCCTTAATGTGCTGTACATTGTGATTTAATGCTATAACAAGTACTGAAACAGTATTTTTCACTTTGTGTTTCTATGTGGGTGCAAACTGTTGAAATCTTTACTTAATATATGCTAAACTGATCTTCTGTATATAAAGAGAATTGAAAATGAATCTTGATGTGAATGGAAGGGGGGAGGGAGAGGGAAAGGGGAGGGTTGCGGGTGGGAGGGAAGTTATGGGGGGGGAGCCATTGTAATCCATAAGCTGTACTTTGGAAATTTATATTCATTAAATAAAAGTTAAAAAAAATACGGTGTTGGGTATACAATTTTGTGAAAATACTGAAAAAACACTAATTATATACTTTAAAAAGGAAGAGTTTATTTTACAGAGTGTGAATCACATCTCAATAAAGCTGTTTATTAAACAACGAAAGAAACAGCAAGAGTAACAAAAAAGGAAGCAGAAACCAAGAGTATACCTTTCTAAATTAAAACTTACATTTTCTGTGAGGGTCATGTTTTCTTTGCTGGTATTTAACGCTGTTGTCACTTAAGCCAGATTTATGTTGTTGAGTTACTTGATTAATTTCTTGAGGTAGAACTGCACCCTGAAAGTTGATATTTTTTATAAGAATGATATGGTTCTTTAGAAAAAAGCTTAATACAGAAAAGTATGGAGAATTCTAAAAGCTACCCAAGGTTCACTATCAGAAATAACCTTGCTTAATACAATGACTATTATTCTAGATATTTCCTTATGCACTAGTTAGCAAGACACACAGAGAACACTCATTTTACAAAAATGTTACTTTGATTAGAAAGAATTAAACCTATTTCTAAGCTAATAAATACAGAAACTGGGGTGGTGGTTTAAGGGTCAAGTTTCACTGCCTAAATGCCCACACCAGCCAGGGCTGGGCCAGGCAAAAGCCACGAGCCTGGAACTCAATCCAGGTCCCTCATGTGGACTGCAGTGACCCAAGCACTTGAGCCATCATCTGCTGTCTCCCAGAGTATATGTTAACAGAGTTGAAATGAAAGTGGAGGAGGCTGGACTTAAACCAGGTACTCTAATATGGGCTGTGGACATCCCAAGCAATAATTTAACTGATGCTTAGGACTCCCACATCCCATATTGGAGTACCTGAGTTTAAGGCCTTTGGGCAATGAACCAGTGGATGGAAGAGCTCTGTCTCCATGCCTGTCTCTCAAATAAAATGAAAATAAAAAATTTAAAAAATTAAGCATGGAATGCTATAATGGTAATTTATTGCACCTTTTCTCTATCTACATCTACTTCCTTGGGTGGACAGATAGATAGACATAGATAAATGTACAAACATACATATTTACATACATACTTGATGATTCTAAAATCTTTCTTCAGTTTGCACATCCTCTATGACCTTTGGAGTCAATGTCCAACACTATACCTACACTTGATTGTTTAAAATACATCTCAAATTTACCATGTTCAAAATTGAATTCTTGATCTTCTCCCACAAACCTGAACGACCTGAAATCTTTCCCACCTCAGTTAACAGTCATTCCATCCCTTTCATTCAGACCCTAAATGTTATATCCTTTATTCCTTCCTTCTTATTTTATCTTTATTTTCATTTCACCATCAGCTAGAAATCCCTTCAAAATATGTCTGGAATTGAACCACTTCTCAAAGGCTCCTGTTACTCTAGCTTAAATTCATATTAACTCAGGGCTGGCATTAAGGTGCATTGGGTTAAGTTGCTGCTTGCGATGCCAGCATTCCATATTGGAACGTCCTGACTTCTCTGCTTCTGCTCCAGCTTCCCACCTGGGAAGGCGGTAGATGATGGCCTGAGTACTTGGGCCCTGGTCACCCATGCGGAAGACTCAGATGGAGCTAAGGTTAGACCTGGCTCAGACCTGGCTGTTGTGGCAACTGGGGAGTGAAACAACAGAGCTCTCTCTCTGACTCTCCCTCGCTCTCTCTTTGCTTTGCCTTTAAAATAAATAAATAAATCTATCTATCTTTTAAAAAAGTTCTCATTGACGCTCACCTTTGTGATAAAAGAATTCTTCTGACCTAGGCTCCTATACAGTCTGTTCTTCAGATAGCAGGCAGAGTGATTCTACTAAAATGTCAGATCAAGTCCCTCTGCCACTCAAAATCCTCCATGGATTCCCCATCTCACTGAGTAAAGCCAATGGCCTGGAAGGTCTTACATGATATAGATGTCTCCTGTCTTTATACTTCCTCCAACTTACCCTACTGCCTCTGCCATAAGAACATTCTGGCCCTCCCAGTAGGGACTTTGAATGTGCCTGAAATACTTTCTCCTCAGGTATTTACTTACATCACTCTCGATTTCATGATTATTTTTGTCTAAATTGGTATTCTATTTAAGACTGCAATATCTCTCCTCTTCATCACCCAAACATTCCCTATCTTCGTCTCCTGAAATTTCTCTCAATCTCCTACAGTGTCTTCTAATATACCATGTAACTTACTTGTTTATACTATTGACCTCTCCTCCCTAAAGTACTGTTTAAGGGAAGATTTTTCTTTTGTTTACTGATATTCTCACTGCATATAACAATGCCTGGCACATGGTGGGCAGTCAATAACTATGTGCTGAATGAATGAAAGAATGATACTGGAGCATTCCTGAGCGATGGGTGGCTAACAGTATCAAATAAACTAGCGAGAAAAAGGGGGTTTAAAAATCTGGATGTGGGTTATATTCAGGTGGAAAGGACTTATGTATGGTCTAAGGAAACTTGCGATAGCTTAATGGCAGAGGAGATCTGTGCATCTTGTCATCAGCAACTTTTATGTTTATTTTACCATCATTCTTTTTGCAAATTTTCTCCTCAGCTCTGACAATGCCACCATCATAAGGTATTAGAATAAATGAAGCTCTGATGGTTTAAAATTGCACAGAACATTCCTTTTTGACCTAAGCTGAGAAAGATGTCAGTAACTAGCAAAAAAATGTAGTAGGAATTAATTTCTTTTCCATTTCCTTTCTTTGTGTGAATCTCTACACTTTTAAGAACATTTCTTACCTCTTCTTAATCTCCATCAAGGAATGTGAATTTATTCATTCACTTTTAAGACAACCAACTGCCAGTGTAAGTTATCCATTTAAGTAGATAAAAATAAGTAATTTCCAGTAAGGCCTTTGTTGAATTTAAAATATAGTTATTAGGATTTTGTAAACAACTAAAAAATTCAAAATTGATTTAAAATTATCTATACTCTCATTCATTGGTCCAAAAACTTATTATGTCTATAAAGAATTATGAAAATTCATAATCAAAACTCTCATTTTTTGAGAATTCAGAGAAAAATAATATACTATATGCTTAAAAGTAAAATATAAAAATACCCTGTATTTATATTAATTGTCCATCAAACAAAGAATACTAACCTTATCTTGTGTAGTTGGCTGAAAGTGTTGAAGCTTTCCAGATGCCTGTAAGGACTGCCAAATATTGCAAAATTCATCATCATCTTTAACAGGTACCTAGCAAAGTACAAATAATTTCTTAGGGAAATAAAACATGAAAAATAAGGATTCAACAAAAATAAAACAATTTATTTATAAAGCTATTCGGTATTACTCAGAATATTTAGTTTTTTTTTTTTTTTTTTTTTTTTTTTTTTAAGATTTATTTATTTGGAAGGCAAAGTTAGAGAGAGAGGGAGAGACAGAGAGAAACAGACACAGAGACAGAAACTTCCATCCATTGGTTCACCCTTCAAATGGCCTAAATGGCCAAGGCTAGGCCAGGCTGAAGCCAGGAGCCTGGAACTCCCTCTGAGTCTCCCATGTGGGTGCAGGGGCCCAAGGACTTGGGCCATTTTCACTGCTTTCTCAGGTGCATTAGCAGGGAGCTAGATCAGAAGTGGAGCAGCTAGGACTTGAACTGGCACCCAAATGGGATGTGGTGCTGCAGGAGGTGGCTAAACCCTCTGACCATAAGCTGGCCCCTTACTTTTATTATCTGGAATAACTCGGCTCTTTTTTTCTAGAGCTGAGCATTATAATGACAAAATTATTCTACTGGAGTAAAACTGGTCTTCTTCATATGCAATAAGTTTTGAATGTTTTTTTAAAAAGTAATGAAAGTGGGGCCTGCACTACAGTGCAATGGGTTAAGGCATCTGCTCCACTTTCGATACAGCTCTCTGTTAATAGCCTGGGAAAAGTAGTGGAAGGTGGTCCAAGTATTTGGGCCCCTGCCATTCATGTGGGAGATCTGGGAGAAGCTCCTGCCTCCTGGCTTCAGCCTGGCCCAGCCCTGGCCATTGCAGCCATTTGGGGAGTGAACCAGAGAATGGAAGATCCCTCGATCTGCAACTCCCCAAACACTGCCTTTCAAATAAATAAATAAATCTTTAAAAAAGTAACAAAAATATAATAAACACCATAAAAATTATACTGAATTAATCTCACCATCAACAGATTTTTCTTTCAGTGTACTAATACATTATCTTATCCAAAAAGACATTTCAAGATTTTACTTTAAAAATCTTCATCTTATACAAAAGTAATATAAAAAATTTTTAAGTCATCTATTTCTCTTGAGGAATTGATTTCATATAGTTTAAGACTGTAGAAAACATGCATAAAATTTAACAGTGGTTACCTATGACAGTTGAGAGAATTTTTGCTAGTGTTTCCTTTATTCTTATTTACTTTTATGTCTTTTAGCTTATAAAATATTTTAATTGATAAAAAATATGGATGAGCATAAAATTTTGGACTCTAAATTAAATAAGGTATATCACTCAAGAAAACTCAAATTCTGTCCCACAAAGATGAAATAAGGGAAATCACCCATGAATTGCATGGTAGAAAACTTGAAAACTGCTTTTGACAAATGTGATATATTCCTCTCCCTTTTATCTTTCAAATTTATGTCATTTGTAGCAGATAGTATAGGATATTTGGGCTATATAAGAATAAACTTAATTGTGAACTTGAAAAGTAAATATATAGAGAGAAAACAAGGATATTTTCAAGATCATTACTTAATATTTCTTTACAGAAGTGTGATTTTGTGACAGAGGTAGAATGCTATGAATGTTTATCAAGTATTCTTGATTAGCCTACTTTCTTAGAACGAATTTGAACTAAAGCTTTTTAAAAAGAAAACCAAGTCAAATTAGCTTTTCAACTACAAAGTATGCACTGATTTGCGATTTGTAAAGTGGGTGGAAAGAAATCAAAGACTGCGAGTCTTACTTGAGTAGGAACAAAAAGTGACTGAGGGGAATGGTTGAGGCCGCCCATATGTCCAGAGGAAATTAACGAGTTGGAGCTACAGGGATTCACAGCTGGCTGTGGTTTCACAATGGCTGTCAATTTCTGATTTCCACTTTCAGGGCGACTTCCATGAGAAAGGTTCACCAAGGCACTTGTTGGCAATCGATAACCTCTTCCAGGTGAGCACCTACGAATAAAAAGTTCTATCAGGATCACAGGAAAATAATACTAAATGTACTAGGAGAAGAATCAATTTTGGGTGGGCATCCATAATCAGAATTCATCAACACTGGATCTAACATTGTGTTGTAGCCAGTTAAGCCAACACTTGCAATGCCGCATCCCATGTCAGTGTGCTGGTTCAAGTTCTGGCTGCTCTGCTTCCCATCCAGCTCCCTGCTGATGCACCTGGGAAAGCAGTGGAAAATGGCTCAAGTACTTGAGTCCCTGCCATCCATGTTGTAGACCTGGATGGAGTTCCCAGTTCTTGGCTTTGGCCTGGCCCAACTCCCCTGTTGCAGCCACCTGTCGAGTGAATCAATGGATTTTGAATAAATAAAAGTAAACCTTTAAAGAAGAAAAAGTAAGGGGTCAGCGCTGTGGCATAGTGGGTAAAGCCGCTGCCTGCAGTGCTGGCATCCCAAATGGGCGCTGGTTCTACTTCTGATCCAGCTCTCTGCTATGGCCTGGGAAAGCAGCAGAAGACAGCCCAAGTCCTTGGGCCTCTGCACCCGCGTGGGAGACCTGGAAGAAGCTCCTGGCTCCTGGTTTCGGATCGGTGCAGCTCCTGCCATTGAGGCCATCTGGGGAATGAACCAGTGGATGGAAGACTTCTCTCTCACTGCCTCTTTTTCTCTCTCTGTGTAACTCTTTCAAGTAAATAAATAAATCTTTTTTTAAAATTTTTATTTTTTTGACAGGCAGAGTGGACAGTGAGAGAGAGAGACAGAGAGAAAGGTCTTCCTTTGCCGTTGGTTCACCCTCCAATGGCCGCCGCGGCCTGTGGCCGGTGCACCACGCTGATCCGATGGCAGGAGCCAGGTGCTTCTCCTGGTCTCCCATGGGGTGCAGGGCCCAAGGACCTGGGCCATCCTCCACTGCACTCCCTGGCCACAACAGAGAGCTGGCCTGGAAGAGGGGCAACCGGGACAGAATCCGGCGCCCCGACTGGGACTAGAACCCGGTGTGCCGGCGCCGCAAGGCAGAGGATTAGCCTAGTGAGCCGCGGCGCCAGCCAATAAATAAATCTTAAAAAGAAAAAGAAAAAATGTAATAAACACTACTTTTACATTCATGAGTGTAATCTGAATTATAGAAAGATCTTAATCTATAAGATGATCTATTTCTTAAAAGATTGCAAATGCATCATTTAATGCGTAGTAACTGGGGAAAAACATCACCACGCTGCACTGGGCATGGTGGTGGTGGTGGTGGTGGTGGTGGTGGTGGCGGCGTGTGTGTCTGTGTATCTGTGCATGTGTGTGTTGGCTTATTCTTAAAAAGGCTGCATCTTAATAGCTGAGTATAACCGATATTTATGACATTTATGAATTGTCAAACTTCTTGAAAAAAAAAAAAAACTGGGGTTTGTAGAATTTAGGTTATAAAAGTCCAGGAGTTAACCAAGTGAAGAGCAATTCTCAGGGCAGATTTATCTAAGCGATATGATAAATGTTAGGTTTGATCTCATTTGTCTACTTATCACTGAGTTGTCCTTTTTTTGTTGTTTAAGACTTATTTATGACTTTATTTGAAAGGTAGAGTGACAGAGAGGGAGAAACAGAGATCTTCCATCTACTGGTTCACTCCCAAAATGTCCACAACAGCCGGGGCTACCCCAGGCTGAAGCCAGGAGCAAGAAACCCCATCCTAATCAATTGCAGGAGCCCAAGCACATAAGCTATCACCTGCTGCCTCCCACAGCATTAGCAAGCTGGATCAGAAGCACTGCGTAGCCAGGCCTTGAAATGACACTCTGATATGGGATATGGGATGCCTAAGAGGTGGGTTAACCTGCTGTGCCACAGTGCCCACCTATCAGCTCTCCTGCCTTTTCAATGTCTATTCACTTTTTAGAAAGATTTATTGGGGCTGGTGCTGTAGCTTAGTAGGTTAGGCTGCTGTCTGCAGTGCAAACATCCCATATGGGTGCCAGTTTGAGTCCCAGCTGCTCCATATCTGATCCAGCTCTTCGCTATGGCCTGGGAAAAGCAGCAGATGATGGCTCAAGTCCTTGGGTCTCTGCACCCATGGAAAAACAGATGTGGGAGACCTGAAGAAGCTCCTGGCTCCTTGCTTAGGCCTGGCTCAACCCTGGCTGTTGTGGCCAACTGTCTCCCCCTCTCTCACTGTAACTTTGACTTTAAAACAAATAAATAAATCTTTTTAAAAAAATTACTTGAAGGAGAAGCAGATACACACACACAGAGATGTCTTCCACCTGCCGGTTTACTCTCTAAACGTCCACAACAGCTGGGGATGGGCCATGCTTAAGTCAGGAGCCAGGAACTCCATTTGTGTCTCTCACATGAGTGGTAGGGACTCAAGTATTTGAGAAATCAGCTGCTGCCTCCTGAGTGCATCAGCAGGAAACTAGATCCAAAACAGGGATGGGACTTGCTACCAGGCACCTGCATATGGGGATGTGGGCATCCCAAGCAGTGAGTTATTCCACTTTTGCCACAATGTGCAATGCCCCCAACTTTTTAATGTTTCTGTATTCATTTTTATTTATTTGAAAGGGAGGGAGAAAAAGAGAGACAGCAAGAGAGCATGGAAGTTCAGTCCTTTATCTTCATTTTCTCACCTTAAAGTTCTGGACATGAAACTGGGAAGACTTAAGAGATAAGTATTTGTAATTCCCTTCCTTTTTTTAAAAAAAGATTTATTTATTTACTTGAAAGTCAGAGTTATACAGAGAAAGGGAGGGAGGGAGGGAGAGAAAGAGAGAGAGAGAGAGAGGTCTTCCATCTGATGGTTCACTCCCCAATTGGCCGTAACGGCCAGAGCTGCACCAATCTGAAGCCAGGATCCAGGAGCTTCTTCCAGGTCTCCCATGCGGGTGCAGGGGCCCAAGGGCTTGGGCCATCTTCTACTGCTTTCCTAGGCCATAGCAGAGAGCTGGATGGGAAGTGGAGCAGCTGGGTCTCGAATTGGCACCCATATGGCAATGTGCCACAGCATTGGCCCCTGTAATTCCCTTCCTTCATGGCCTTGATAAACATGTTAGATAATAAAATAAGCCCTCTCTTGTCAAAAGTGGTCAACACTAACAACTATTTTTAATCTCTGAGAATACAATTTTCTTATATTGAAAGATAGTGGAGGCAGGCATTGTGGCACAGCAGGTTAAGCCGACACCTAGGATGCCTGCGTCCCATTCTGGAGTACCAATTTGAATCTGGGCTGTTCTGCTTCCAGTCCAGCTTCCTGCTAATGAATTTTCAGAGGAAGTGGAAATGATGGCTCAAGTACTTGGGCCCCTGCTACTTATCTTTTCCCAGGCCATTATCAGGAAGCTGGACTGGAAGTAGAGCTGCTGAGATATGAACCAGAGCCCATCACAGGTGGCAGCTGAATTTGCTACACTACACCACTGACCCCAATAGTGTTCTTTTACGAATATTTATTTTCATGAGAGCTACACTTTACTAAAGATTCTGCATCATAAAAATGAATGTACTCTAGGCAGGTAGTATTTTACAAAGCCTTTAGGAGGAAAAAATACATAAAAATATATTTTGAAAGTTAGTGGGCTAAAGTTATTTGTAATTAAATATTTTCAGAAAAAATAAAATCAGATATGAGATCCAGATTTGGCTGCTGCATTTGAAGAGTGCAGATAGGAAGGTCTATTAGTAAGAGACATACTCAAAGCTCAGACAAAAATAAAAGCATATGCTTCACTATGTTTATAGCAGCACTATTCATGACAGCCAAAATATGGAATCAATCAATGTGTCTACCATCCGATGAATAGATAAAGAAAATGTGGAATGAATACACACACACACACACACACACACAATTTTTTCCCTGCAGCAAAATGGTTAGAACTAGAGGACATGGGCTGGCACTGTGGCACAGTAGTTAAGTATCTGCCTGCAGTGCTGGCATCCCATATAGGCACTGGTTCAAATCCTGGCTGCTCCTCTTTGATCCAGCTCCCTGCTGGTGGCCTGGGAAAGCAGAAGATCGCCCAAGTGCTTGGGCCACTGCACCCATGTGGGAGACCCAGAGGAAACTCCTGGTTCTTGGCTGTAGATCAGCTCAGCTCCAGACATTCTGACCATTTGAGGAGTGAACCAACAGATAGAAAACCTCTCTCTGTTTCTCCTTCTCTCTGTAACTCTGCCTCTCAAGTAAATAAATAAATCTTAAAAAAAAAAAAAACAAAAACCAAACAAACAAAAAAAAAACTAGAGGACATCATGCTGTATAAAATAAGCCAGAAAGAAAGACAAATACTGCATGTTCTCCCTTAAATGTGGAAGCTCAAATCTGAAAGAGAAAGTTGATTATTAGAGGTTGAGAGGGATATGAGAAATCTAGATTAAAAAAAAATTAGGGGAAGCTAATGTGGTTCATTAATTGTGTCAAGTACACTAACATGAAATATTATGAAATACACAAATATAAGAATGAAATGTTAACAGGGGAAATGGGGTAAGGAGTATATGGGAACTCACTGAAGTACCACCTCAGAATTTTTGCTTTGTAAATTTATAATTAATAAAAATAAAACAAATAAAAGCATCTGGAAGGTGACTACTTGGCATAAAACTAAGAGTGATTCTATGCAAGGAGGCTAAATAAGAATAATTTATTATTTTAATTACTCATTAATTAAAATGGGAGAGAAAAATTTAACTAAATCAGTTCAGTTTTCCAGCTGATTTTTAATAACATTTTAATTCGTTAATCTGAGAGGCAGACCGACAAAGAGATCTCCCACCTGGCGGTTTACTCCCATATGCCTACAGCATCTAGGGCTGGGCCATGTGGAAGCCAGAGACTGTGAACTCAATCTGGGTCTGCCACATGAGTGGCAGGGACCCGATTACTTGAGTTACTATCTGCTGCTTCCCAAGGCACATATCAGCAAGGAGCTCAAATCGGGGACTCAAAGCCAGGCTCCCTGATATGGCATGGGCATATCCCAAGCGGTTGTGTTAACTGTTGTGCCTGCCCATGATTTCTGGAAGGGTGAAATGAAAATTGGAAAGGATTTTATATTACCCTTAAAAAAATCTAGCAAAATATTTATATCTTCATTGCAGAGGAGGACACTGAGGATCAGATGTTTTTAACTAACCCACCATCATAACAAAAAGGATCTGGGAGCTTATACTTCCTAGTAGAGCACAGAGATTCCCACTCTTACCATAATGCTTCCTCCTATAATTCCAAACTTTCCACTAGAGCTCTCCAAAGTCTACTGAAGCCTCACCATTGTTAAAATAAAAACAATCTAACCATCTTCCTTTTAAACCTCCTATCCTCCAGTTACCTTTTCCTCTTCTTCAGTTAAATTTCTAAAGTTTCCTGCTTCCACTGCTGTGTCTGCCATTCACTAGTCAAGGTACCCCAATCTGGCTTAAGCACCATTAAAACAGGTGAAAACTTACCTATCACCAAGTTCAAAGGATATTTCTGTTCCTCAAATTATTTAGCCATGGGGCTTGGCACTGTGGCATAGGTTAAGCCTCAGCCTGTGGTGCCAGCATCTCATATGGGCACCAGTTTATGTCCTAGCCAGTTGCTCCTCTTCTGATCCAGCTTTCAGCTCATGGCCTGGGAAAGCAGGGGAAGATGGCCCAAGTGCTTGGGCTCCTGCACCCATGTGGGAGACCTAGAAGAGGCTCCTGGCTCCTGACTTCGGATTGGCCCAGCTCTGGCTGTTGTGGCCATTTGGGGAGTGAACCAGTGGATGGAAGACCTCTCAAGTATTCTGTCTCTGTTACTCTACCTCTTGAATAAATAAATAAAATCATTAAATAATTACTAAGCCATAAATGTGGTTTTTTAGATATGTCACTCTCTTTTTAAGCACTCTTCATTATTCCTCCCTCTTCTCCCAGCTATTATTCATTCTTCAGGTTCCATTGTAATCACCCCTTTTTCAAAGAGGTCTTTCTGGAATTCTCAGGACAGGTCATATTCTTTTTTTTTTTTTTTTTTTTTTTTTAAGGATTTAATTTATTTATTTGAAAGGTAGAGTTACAAACAGTGAGAGGGAGAGACAGAGAAAAATGTCTTCCTTCCGTTGGTTCACTCCCCAAATGGCCTCAATGGCCGGAGCTGCGCTGATTTGAAGCCAGGAGCCAGGGTTTAACTCCTCGTCTCCCACGTGGGTGCAGGGGCTCAGGCACTTGAGCCATCCTCTACTGCTTTCCCAGGCCAGAGAGCTGGATTGGAAGAGGAGCAGCTGAGGCCAGTGCCGCGGCTCAATAGGCTAATCCTCTGCCTGCAGCACCGGCACACCGGGTTATAGTCCCGGTCGGGGCGCTGGATTCTGTCCTGGTTGCCCCTCTTCCAGGCCAGCTCTCTGTTGTGGCCAGGGAGTGCAGTGGAGGATGGCCCAAGTCCTTGGGCCCTGCACCCACATGGGAGACCAGGAGAAGCACCTGGCTCCCGGCTTTGGATCAGCATGGTGCGCCAGCCGCGGCAGCCATTGGAGGGTGAACCAACGGCAAAAGAAGACCTTTCTCACTGTCTCTCTCTCTCACTGTCCACTTTGCCTGTCAAATAAAAAAAAAAAAAGGAGCAGCTGGGACTAGAACCCGGCGCCCAATGGGATGCTGGCGCCTCAGGAGGAGGATTAACCTACTGCGCCACAACGCTGGCCCCATGGGCAGGTCATATTCTTTGTAGAAATGTATACTTCTCCTTCCTGGCACTTGTCACATCTTAGTCAAATAATTAATAATGCAAGCAGCTGCTTATTTATTTCCCCCACTAAAACGAAAGCTCTATGAGTATAGAAAGCATGTTTGTCTTATTCACTGTTAAAATCTCTGTGGCAAGTATGACATCTATGAACTTAAACTGTGGACAAATAAATGAGTAATATAAAACCACTGGCCACATGGATCAATTCCCAATGTGCAATTATCATCTGGAAACACAAACCTTATTGTTAAGCCTCCAGGAAATTCTTCATCAAATAATACTTCAAATAGTACATCAGCTTCTCTATTAGCTGTTAAAAAAGGAAAGACACACTAAAAAATCATATGATTAAAAAAAATCAGCATCTAAATTTTTAGAGTGCTAGGAAGTATTTTATTTTTAAAATTCATAAAATATACTCTGAATTTAAGAATGGCATAATAATAATACAATGAAGATAAATAAGATAAGAAACAGAATATCAGTGCATTGGAAGACCACTGTACCCCAATTCCCAAACAGGTAACTGCAACCTTCAATTTGTCAATTTGATTCCTATATAGCTTTATACTTGTATTATGTATCTTCAAATAATATGCCGTATTGCTTTCCAAGCTTTTTAAAAAATTATTTGAGAGGTAGTGAGAGTAGTGAAAGAGAGAGACAGAGAGGATCACTATCTACTTGCAAATGAGCAGAAAGCTGGAATTGGGGGTAGAGGTGGAACCTGAACCCAGGTACTCCAATAAGGGATGTGTGCATCCCAACCCACCATCTTAAACCTCTAGGTCAAATATTCTGCTTGGCAAGTTTTGAAGCATCTACAACTAGAGGCTACAACTGCATTCATTTGCAATTTGTTTCAACAATGTATTTGCGAGATTCACCCATGTGAATATGTGTTCAGTTTTCTAGGTGTACAGCATCCCATCCATGGATAAACCATAATTTATCCATTCTCTTAATGATGTTTAGGTTGTTTCTAACTTCAGCTATTAAAAACAATGTTTCTTGGGCTGGCACTGTGTCGTAGTAGGTTAAGCCTCTGTCTGTAGCCCTGGCATCCCATGTGGTCATTGGTTCAAGTTGTGGCTCCTCTACCTCCAATCCAACTCCCTGCTAATGGCCTGGGAAAGCAGTGGAAGATGATCCAAGTGCTTGGGCCCCTGCACCTGCATGGGAGACCTGGAAGAAGCTCTTGGCTCCTGGCTTCGGATCAGTCCAGCTTTGGCTGTTGTGGTCATTTGGGGAGTGAACCAATAGATGGAAGACCTTTCTATCTCTTCCTCTCTCTGTAACTCTGCCTCTCAAATGAATAAATAAATATTTAAAAAATGAAATAGAATAAAAACAATGTTTCCATGAACATTATGTAAATGTCTCCTTTCTAAAAGGGAATGCTTCCCTAGGTCAGAAGTGAAATTGCTGGGTCTTAAAGTCTTTTTTATTAGACTTTGATGTGTAATGAACACAAAACTATCATACATAAGATAATCACTCACAAGTTTCCCATGTCCTTTTATAATCCAATTCCTCAGTGCCCAATAACTAAAAATATGCTGTCACCATAGATTTATTTGCATTTCTAAAGTTTTATGTTAATGAAATCATATAATATATATTTCTTTTTTTGTCTGGCTTCTTTCAACATAATTATTTTGAGAATCATCATGCTGTATATATCATGTTTTTATTTACCACTGAGCAGTATTCCATTGCAAAATTCAATACTGCAGCATTCCAACAATTTACTCCATTCACCTGTGTGATGGGCATTTGGATTGTTTCTAGTTTTTTTGTTGTCACATATAAAGCTGCTATGAAGATTCATAAATAAAGCTTTGTATTTAATCCTCTGTTTCTCTTAGGTAAGTACTTAGGAATGGAATGGAACATTGTAAAAATAGGTTTGACTTATTATTTAGTTGTAAAAATTCTTTACATATTCCAAATACAAATATTTTGTTGGATTTATGTTTGGTTAGTATTTTCTTTGTGCTTGTGTATGGCTTGCCTTTTTAATTCTGTTGCGAGTCTCTTTGGAAGAGAAAAAGTTTTCTTTTTTTGAAAAATCCAAATTATCAGTATTTTCTTTTATAGTTCTTTTATTCAGATTTTTCTCGCTAAGCTTGTGGTCCATCTCCTTTTAGGATGATGAAACAAGACATTGGGTGCCTTGGACCTGGAGGGACAGTGATGCCAGCACTCTGACCTTAGGGCAAGTGATTTGCTGCTTCATACCAGAGCTGAATTTTATTTTTTTTTAAAGAATTTATGTTGTAAAACTGCTCACTCCAGGCATCTCTTTAGGTATACATTTAGATCTTTAGCAACTTCTTCCCAATTCTTTCCCCTCCTTTATTTTATTGTGGCAAAAACCACGGAACATAACATTTACCCTTTTAGGCATTTTTAAGTGTACAAAACAGCAGGGTTAATTATGTATACATTATTATGCAACAGACAGGTCTATTTTATACACATAATATACTTGTGTTCATAAAATTAAGATTAATATGTATATTAAATTTTCAAATCTTATTTACATGTAAAGTCACGTTTGTTTACTTCTTCATAGAAATGAAGAGATTACTATGAAAATTAAGGTAAAACTTGGGCAAGGCTAGATGAAAGCTTAACTAAATGATGAGAAATTTCTCCCAGTTTCATGAAAATATATGTAATATCCATGAGACTCATAGAATTTTAATGTAATATTTAGCAACTGCGAAATTCTCCGCAGTCCCTTTTCAACTTCCCCTTCTTTTAACCTCTTCCCAGGTGATTACACAAGACAGAAAAGGAGAATTTTCTCTTAAAAGTATAACCTAGAAAACATTAACTGAAACATAAAATAATTAAGTTTTTTCCTGATCTATAATTTTTTTCTGCTTATTTTCTGCTTATATTTAAAAAAATCCGCTAATTTGTACAATTTAATACTTTATCCCTTTTAGTATTTTTTTTCTAGTTAATTCTATTGGTTGAACTCTGTAATTAACACACATTTATTCTTAGGTGCTGAAATTTAACTGAAAAGTGATCCCTGTTAAATATAAGCATGGGAATAAAAGAGGGAGGAGATGTACATTTTGGGACATGCTCAATCAGACTTGCCCCAAATGGTGGAGTTAGAAATGTGCCAGGGGATTCCAATTCAATCCCATCAAGGTGGCATGTACCAATGCCATCTCACTAGTCCAAGTGATCAATTTCAGTTCACAATTGATCATAATGATAGGACTAAGAGCCAAAGGGATCACACAAACAAGACTAGTGTCAGCGAATACTAACTGATAGAATAAAAAAGGGAGAGAACGATCCAACATGGGAAGTGGGATACACAGCAGACTCATAGAATGGCAGATGTCCTAAACAGCACTCCGGCCTCAGAATCAGCCCTTAAGGCACTCGGATCTGGCTGAAGAGCCTATGAGAGTATTTTAGGCATGGAAAGCCAAGACACCCTGGCAAAAAACAAAAAACAAAAAACAAAAAAACAAACAAAAAAACCCAAAACCCTAAATGAAAGATCTCTGCGAGTGAGATCCCAGTAGAAAGAATAGGTCATCAAAGAAGGAGGTACCTTTCTCTGAAGGGAGGAGAGAACTTCCACTTTGACCACGACCTTGTCTAAATAAGATCAAAGTCAGCGAACTCAAGAGGCTTCCATAGCCTTGGCAACTCATGACTAGAGCCTAGGGAGATTTCTGGCGCCATAAACAAGAGTGTCAAATTGTTAAGTCAACAACAGGAGTCACTGTGTACTTACTCCTCATGTGGGATCTCTGTCCTTAAAGTGTTGTCCAATGTGATTTAATGCTATAACTAGTACTGAAACAGTATTTTACACTTTGTGTTTCTGTGTGGGTGCAAACTGATGAAATCTTTACTTAATATATACTAAACCGATCTTCTGTATATAAAGATAATCGAAAATGAATCTTGATGTGAATGCAATAGGAGAGGGAGCGGGAGATGGGAGGGAATTTATGGGGGGGAAAAGCCATTGTAATCCATAAACTGTACTTTGGAAATTTATATTTACTAAATAAAAATTTTAAAAAAATTTGTAAATATAGTACAAGACATATCAGGTATTGACATATTACCCCCTTTAATTCCTATGATGGTGCCCCGAAGGCCAACTGGAACTGAAAAGTTCTCTCTCACATTTACAACACGGTCAAAGAGACGAAATTCTGCATCTCGATCAGGAATGACTCCATGTTGCTGTTCCAAAGGCTGGAGAGAACAGAGGATTAATTTCAATTTAAAGAACAAGTTTTCCTACTAATATATTGAAAATGTTTTTGTTTCTTCTACTCTTCTGACATAAAAATAACAACTTTAAATTCTTTGAGAGGAAACTTACTCTGTACAGCAAATGGGGCTTTACTGTCACTCGAACCTTCTTATTATTCTTTCTTTGCTAAGGAAACAAGAAAAAAAAATTTAAGTATTTTAAAATATATAATTACAAACTCATTAATCACACTTCAACATGTCTGAATTTTAAAAGCCAAAAGAAATTATTGTAAGAATATTTAAAGTCCTACAAACTCCACAGGAAGGAATAAAATATTTATAAAATTCCTATGGCTTAAGTTTTCTTTTTTTAAAGACTTATTTATTTGAAAGGCAGAATAACAGACAGAGGGAGAAAGAGAGGTATAGAGACAAAGAGATATCTGCGTTAGGACAGGTCAAAGCTAGGAGGCTGGGAATTCACTACAGACCTCTCCTGTGGGTGGCAGGGACCCAGCTATCTATCTGAGTTATTACCTGTTGCCTCCCAGGGTTTGATTTGCAAAAAAAAGGGAATGTGGAATGGAGCCAGGATTTGAATCCAGGATTCCAATATGGGATGCAGGAATCCTAACTGGAGTCTTAATCACACTAAGCCAAACGTCCATCATTAGATGCATTTTTCTAGTGTTATTTGTAGGGTACAATAACTACAAGTTACCTACTGTACCTTGCTCAAGAAACATTACTAAGCACAACTTAAAAAATCCTTTCCACCTCTTCTCACTTAGTATCCTTCAGAAAAATTAATCTTACATCTACTATAAATGATTAGATTTGCTTGTTTTTGAAATTATGCAAATGCTATCCTATTAGATGTTTTTTTTTCTCTAAAAGGGATTAAACAGAATGCTCAACAAAGGTTTATATAAAAATAAAGTATAAAGTCTTAATCTATGACAATAGTATGGGTTTTGTGAATACTTACAAAAATTAAGGTGACACTCATTTAACAAATCCTTGCCTTTGGAATCTAATATGAAATTCTGATGTGTGAATATTTTTATTATCTAAAAAATATGGAAGAAGACTTATCTTCTAACTTTCCTGCTTATTAGTCTGTGAACTCACACTTCACTATCTAGGCATCACCTTCTTTCCATCTGTAAGATAGAAACAATACCTGTTTTACATAATATAAGAATAATTTTATTAACTGTAATCCAAAAACCATTATTCATTATTAAACTTTTTTTAGAATAGTTTATTTTTAAAGGTGGAGCCACAGAGAGACACACAGAGACAGGGACAGAACTGGAGACAAGAGACAGAGAAGGAGAGAGACACAGACAGACACATCTTCCATCCACAGGTTCACTCCCCAAATTTCTGCAACAGCCAGGATGGAGCCAGGCCGAAACCAGGAGCCAGGAACTCTATTCAGGTCTCCCATGTGGGTGACAGGGATCCAGATACTTGAGGAACCATCATCTGCTGCTTCCCATGGTGTTCATTAAAGGAAGCTGGACTGGAAGCAGAGGTAGGACTTGACCCCAGGTACTCTGACATGGGATGCTGGTATTCCAAGCAGTGGTATGTCTTGCTGAGACACAATGCTTGCCCTCATATTAAATGTTTTTAAAAAAATGAACTTTTACCTAATGAAAAAATAGCATCAGTTTAAACATAAGGAGTTACTTATCTTTAGAGTATAACTTTTAGAAATAAGGACAAAAAGATGTAATACAATTCCAAGTACAAATTCCATAAACTATAGAGTTTATGTATTTTTTAAAATTTTTTTATTTTATTGTATTTTTTGATAGGTAAAGTTAGACAGTGAGAGAGAGAGAGAGAGAGAGACAGAGAGAAAGGTCTTCCTTCCGTTGGTTCACCTCCAAATGGCTGCTGTGGCCGGCACACTGCACTGATCCAAAGCCAGGAACCAGGTGCTTCCTCCTGGTCTCCCATACAGGTGCAGGGCCCAAGCACTTGGGCCATCCTCCACTGCCTTCCCAGGCCACAGCAGAGAGCTGGACTGGAAGAGGAGCAACCAGGACAGAACCGGCGCCCCAACTGGGACTAGAACCCAGGGTGCTGGTGCCGCAGACGGAGGATTAGCCAAGTGAGCCGTGGTGCTGGCTGAGTTCATGTATTTATATAGTATAAAATGCTCAACC